CCAATCTGCGCATCGAGTTTCTTCTGGATCCGCTTGAGCACCATCACAGAGACGGCCTTGCGGATGCAGTTGAGCAGCACGATCGGGCGGAGGCTCGAGCACACGCCTTGCGGCTTGTTGGGCTTGGGCAGGCAGATCAGCGTCCCTTCGCCGAGCTGGATGGGCCGTCCTGTGGTGAGACCTTCGTTGAGCAGTTGGGCGAGCGGCATGGCGACGAGGTCGGCAACGGCCTTGAGGATTTCGGCCGGCATGTTGTCGGGGCCGCAGGCACGGTTGTTGTGGAGCGTCTTGATGGCGGCGTGAAGTTCTTCGGGTGTGATGAGCTGGTCGAGCGGTTCTGCTGTGTCGTCGGGCTGCACGGTGGCGTTTGTCGAGCTGGCGAACTGGGCCTGGAAGTGGGCGGTCACGTGCTTGGCGGTCTCCTTCGTGTCCATAATGACGTGGCCGTGCTGGTCCTTGAGGCGGAACTTGGGCGTGGAGCGTCGGATCGTGGCTTTGACGGCTGCGAACATCTGCGAGGTGGGGCTCAGGGCCTCGATATCGCGGACGTGAGCATCGGCTTCGGCGTTGGCAAGGTCGCGGCAGCGCATGCGGATCCTGTGCATGACGAGGTTCCGTTCAGTGCGGAGATCTCGTGTAGCGATGGGGTCGGCGGCCGGCATGTTGTCGATGCGGAGGCGCAGCGCTTTCTGGTCACGGGCCAGGGACGCCAAGATGTCGTCGTCGTACCTGTAGCGGCGCTGGATCTCAACGTGTCCTAGCACCGTGCCGGCGGCAGTTACCACAGCGTCGAGGAGCTCGCGCCAGGCCATGTCGGGCGGCTTTCTATCGGCGGCGTACGGCGACAACGTCGCGGTCTCCACGGCGTCACGGAACGATGCCATAGTGGCGTCGTCCTGGAGCTTGGCGACGGCGAGCTTCTTGTACCTTGTGCACGTGGACGTCGTCGCGTGGACCTGCTGGCCGAGCGCCTGGAATAGCTTGAAGTCGGCCGTCACGAGCTTGTGGTCCGAGGACATCTGGAGGCCACCCCAGCTGTGCGCGTCGAGACACGACTCGACCATGGCGCGCGGGCACAGGATGTAGTCGATCTGGTTGTACACAGTGTACGTGCCGCAGTTGCGCGTCCATGTCGTCAGGTTCTTGGCGCGCTTGGGGAACATTATTTGTTGTCTTTGGCAACGTAAATGGGGGTGTGTGGGAGCTCTGTTGGGAACGAAACTTTGCACACACATCCACGACTATGTGTTAGATGTTCGTGCAGAGTCTCGTTTTGGGACGGACTCTCGGTCACCCACATATTTTTGTTTGTGTATCCCAGGCCAGGTTACCTTGGCGCTATTTGCTGAATTACGTAGCATGTAGGAACTCATTTCATGCGTTTAGAAGCCTTATCGATACAATATACGCTTGTTCATGCCTAAGCTATCTTTGTGCGCCGTAAAAAGCTATGTTCCGAGTGCTATACGTGCGTAGACCCATGCAGCGATCCGCGGCGCCGAGTCCATTTTAATGAGAATGCATAAAATAATTATTATCCGGATGAGGTATTCGGCGCTTGCGCTTCCTCAGGCGTTTGTATTGGACTTCGCTGGGGGTCATCCGTGATTTTTAAATTAAATACGGGTCGTGATACACCCTCTCTATTATTGACCCATGACTGGGCTCACCAACGAACGAGAAAAAAGGTGGCCGCAGGGTCACAGGGCTCACCCTACTATTAGTGTTAGCAAGCTGGTATGGGAAGATTCTCCCATGGCCGACCACCTGAAGTGATGTCGTCTCGCGGGTTCCTCCACAACCGCTATGACTGACTAACTACATTATTGCGAGCGAAGCGAGCATTCACTAATCATTGCGAGCGCAGCGAGCCCTGTCCACCGGCTCTTTTTGCATGCCCCACTGTCTTGATCACAGGCGACCCTGCTTGGCGAATTTTGTCCGGTTTTTGACTTGAAACAACTATCACATAATGTAGCCAAGTGATTTGAGACGATCAGCGACGTTGTGGCCAGATAGCTTGCTACACGGGTGAGATGGGTGAGATCCCACTGTCTTGATCATAGCGGGCGTGTGGGATCAGATCGATGGGGCCAGATGGCCAATCAACGCTGTTCGAGGTTTCTGAGACCAATCATCGACCCCCACGTACCACGTACCATATTGGCAAATTCTCCGTGACATAGACACGCAACACTGTTCCACCTGGGAGGGGGGACGCTTGAGCCGAGCGGTATGATTCCTGCTTCTGCCTCCCGAGGTCGCCGACGCGCCGATTTATCTATCCGGATGTCCCCCCCCCATCCGGACACGAATGTCACTGAAGACGGTCACCATAATAAGGCCACGCTCGGCAAAGTGCCACAAGGAACACAAGGAAGAAGCAAGA